AGCAGCAGACCTCTGATTTATTTCACTGTCCAGCACCTGTGCTCCTGCCTGGACCTCTGCTTCTCTAGGAGAAATTCCCAGTATTGGGAATTGAATTCTGCCTTTGCCTTGAGCTTTTTTTTAAATGTTTAATTCCGACACAGGGTCTTGCTAAATTATTAAGATGGCTAGGCCAAACTCTAACTTGGCATCTTAGCTGGGTGAGGCAGCTCATTACATGCCTGTAATCCTAGCACTAGGAAAGCTGAGGCAAGAGGACAGTGTGAGTTCGAGGCCAGCCCAGGCTACCCAGTGAGTTTGGGGCCAGCCTGAACTCCTAGCAAGGCCTTGTCTCAAAAATGAAGCCCCCCCAGCTCCATAAATGCATAAATCCAACTTGGAATCATCCTGCCTCAGCCTCCCAGAGCACTGGATCATAGGCTCTTCTGTCTTTTTGCAGTTGTACCTTCTGTTAGCAAAAGAAGGAACCCATTTTTCCTGTCCCAGCCTTACTGTTCTGGTAGTTTTTTCCTGCTAGGAGCCTGATTACCCGGTCAATCAGGTAATCCCAGTGATTGGCTGGGGACAGACATAAGACCTTCACTGTACCAGTGACAGCCTCCCCAGGACTTTTGCATACTCCATGGGGAAGAGCCTCCCTCTCAGCTGAAAGCTGATAAGCTAGTATTGTGGGGTCACCTTCCACCACAGACAGGAATCTTCCCCAAAACAAAACCAGCCCCAAGGAAAGGAAATCCAAGAGGCAGAAAGCCAGGGTTCTTACACCAGGATTTGAGCACTGGGATCCAGCAAAGTTGGCCTGGACGGATTCCAGTTATGTTTTTGGATGCCAGACAAGGGAACCAGAAATCCAAACTCCAGTTTGTCCCTACTTCCCGCAGGCATAGCCATCCATTCAGACCTCGGAGGGAGGAACTGTTTCACAGAAGAATGGGGTGGGGAGAAGCTACACAAACACCTGAGATAATCAGGAGGGTGGCCACTGCTCAGGAGAAAAGCAGGGTGTTGTGGCAGACTGAGAGCGGCTGGGGAGGGCAAGCTGATGGACACAGCCAGGTCAGGGGAGAGGAGGACGGTCTGGGGAGTTCTTAAGGTGACAAGAAACTGTAAACAGGGAGTTAGATGGAGGCAACCGCAAGTGCAAAGGCCCTGGGGTAGGATGGGCCTTACAGTGTTTGGGGAACAGCATCAGGCCAGGCAGCCCAAGTGCTATCAGAAAGGCAGGTAAGAAGGCCAGGCAAGGAGTTGTGGGTTTATTTGAAAAGCAGTGGGCAGCCAGTGGAGGGTTTTAAACAGGAGTGACATAGTTCTATTTTCATTTTTTCAAAGCACCATCTGGCTGCTCGGTGGGGAGGAAGGATGGTTTGTTTCCGGGGAGAAGCAGAGGTGGACAGATAACCAGGGCAGGGGCTCAGGCCTGTCCCTTGTCGTGCCCTTTCTAAGCTCCACCTGCCTGCTCCTGGAGGGACTGTTGCTGTGCAGCCAGGCTGGGTGCAGACGACCTGAGGCCCCAGAGCCAGGCGGCAGCAAGCCCAGGCCGAGCATCTGCGAAGGTGGCACAGAGGGCAGCTGCCTGGCTGCTACCTGGGAGGGGCAGGCAGCTCCAGCCCAGGAGGACAGGGACGCTCACAAGCTGGGCAGGGAGGCTCCCATCCACAGGCTGTCACCATCCACCATCGGAATAAGATGGGTCAGAAAATTTTTTTTTTTTTTTTTTTTTTTTGCTGCCCCCTTTAAAGTGCTGCGGACAGAGGAGGGAGGGAAAATTCACAGGAGACCCTCAGAACAAGGTGGGAATGGCCGGAAGAGCTGGCCAATCGGTGGATATTTAATTATCACCACGGAGGAATCTGACACCAACCTGATCCTTCAAAGCGCTGTTCTCAGTGCCTTTAGATGGATGTCCCACTTCTGTGACAAAAGTCTTGTAAGGCTCCCTTATTTTCCTGAAGGGAAATTTAGGGGTAACAAAAGCTACCTCTGCACATCTTCACAAAAATATATATATATATCACTAACTGCAATCTACAAGAAAAAGAAAAGGAAAGCAATTTATAATGAAGGAAAATTTCAGTATGAAATTTCTCAAGCACATCCATCAAGGCAGACGCCTGTACCTAGACTCGAAGCCCGCAAGGGTGCAGTCACAGACGCGGAGGGTGGGCGAGGGAGCCGCATTTGCAATTCAAATCCTTCCCGTGTCACTGCCATCAGGGACGGGATTTTCAAAAAGAAGGAATAACTCCTGGAAAAGTTCTGCATGCAATTATAATATTCCGCCCATCTCCTTATCACGTTCATTCTGGGAAAGTCAGGGCATATTAAAACTGCAAGAAGCTGTCAGGATTTATGTCCAAAATAGGCTTAGGTGGGTATCAACACACAGGAAATAACCCCACCCAGGAATGGTCTAGTCTGAAATCCAGAAGCCACGCGGGAGACAAGGCATCTTGGAGCTCTGAGGGCTCTCTGGGCAGAGGAGGGCACCGGAGTCCGGGCCCTGTTCCCAGGAGCCCAGCTGTACCCAAGCCTGTACCACCACCAGCAATGCTTGCATAGATTTTTACCCAGTAGGGGGCACTGTGCTCCCTCCAGAGCCGCCAGTTAGAACAAAGCTTTCACCCAGTGACCTGGGGCCTAACCCACAGCCAGGTGGGCCTGTGTGGTGTTTTTAGACATTTATTTCTGAAAAGCACAGTTACCGGTCCACAGGTGAAGCCTAGGTCCCTCCCTACCTGGCCTGCCCATCCGAACTCAGCACCCCCAGGATGGACAGGCTGACGGCGAGGGCAGACACTAGGGGTGCTGACTCCCTCCCTGCCTTTGCAGAACCCCCTTGAACCTTCTCCTGAGCCCCTAGGTGGCTCACTGCCCATGCCAGGGTGGGACAGGATGGGTCAGTGCTGGAAAAGCATGGGGCTCCCTGACCCTGGGACCGCAGTGTGATGCAGGAGCAATCGGGAAGGTTGGGGAGGACAGACAGACGGACAGACAGAGGTGCTGGCTGTGGGGGGCACGCCCACCTCACAGGGCTGACCGAGGCCTGTGGAGGCCCTGGCACTGCTCTCGGATGGGCAGCAGCTCCGCAGTGACCACCGTTTTATCACTGTGGTCATTTACATGCCACCCACCTCCCGGCCACGATGGACACATCCTGCCTCTGCTCCGCCCACCCCTGGCCCATGCGTCTACTAAGCACTCCTAAGCTGGCTTGTGTGTCCTGAAAACTGAAATTTTAATTTAAGTTTAATTAATTTAAATGGCTCCCCGTGGTTCCTGGCAACCGTGCCGGCTGTCTGGCTCTAGCCTAACCCCTTCCAGAATGTTCCAGGAGTCCCAGCTGGCACCTCCTCACGGCTCAGCAGGAAGGACTAGATCCCTCATCTCAGCTGGCCTGTCCCCCACTTTTGTTTTGACTTTGTAGGCAGTTTCGGGGACTCCCAAAGGGACAGGAGGGCTGCAAAGGAGAATCTGCACGGAGCTGATCAGCTGGGTGGCCTCACTGATTGGCCCCGTATGGCTGGGGGCCGAGTTCCCACTGGACTGCAGGCCGCAGCCCTAGTCCAACACCGAGGCTCCACAACCTCTGTGCAGGGGACGGGCGGGAGAGTCCTGCTGTGCTGGGATGAGCTGTCCCCCTGTATCCATCCAGACCCGAAGACACACCAGCTGCCCACAAAGTGACCCGAGCTGAACGGTGGTCTCTGTGGTCAAGTTAGATGGGGCTGCACTTCCTCATGACAGGGGAAATACAGACTCGGACAGAAGGCCACATGGAGACAGACAGAGACTACAGACTTGTGGCAGGGCACAGCCCCTGGCTAGACAGGCTCGCCCTGGACACCATCAGACAGTGCAGTGCTAAAGGCATTTGGTTGGATTCCTGGCTTCCAGAACTGGGTGAGAATAAATGTTTTTTGCTATAAGTCACCCAGCTTATGGTAATTTGTCACCACAGGAAACCAAAACACAGGGGCCCAGATGGAGACGGGTTGGCTGAATGCAAACAGAAATGTCACCCCAGCGCTCTGCCAGGGGACCTCTCCTCCTGGGTGTGGGCCCTGGGGTGACTTGCACATGCGTGTCACAGCACTGCTGCACAGAGGGGCAGATTGAGGCTCAGAGTGGGTGAAGTCTGGGCCCCAGGATCACAGAAGAGCTTGAGGCAGAGCCTAATTTTGACTCCTCCCTGAGTGTCCCACTTGCTGGGAAAATGGCCTTGGAGGTGAGCGACCTCCGGAATCTCACCAGTTTGGCTGAAAGCCGAGTGTAGCAGATGTGTAAGTGGCCGTTGGGGGCCTCCCGAGGATGCCTGGGCCACCCCACGTCCTTCGAGGGGCTGTGGGACCCAGTGGAGGCCCAGACCTCCAGGATCCCTGCTGCTGGAGGAGCACGTACTCCAGGGCAGAAGGGGACACCGCGCTGTCACACCAACAGGCCGGAGGTGGCGGGTGCACGAGAGGCAGCTGGACTGGGGAAGAAGGGGGTTGTGTGTGCGAGGGTGCATGCGCACGTGTGAGCACTCGAGGGGAGAGGAAGCCCAGGGCGCGGGAGCAGGAGGAAAGCCAAGCAGAGAGAAGGCGGCCTTTGTGGAGGGAGGGACAGCTGCACCAGGGCCCAGAGTGGAATAACTCAGTCCTCTCTTCTCTGGGCGTGCAGAAAGGCCGAGAAGAAAGAGGGGGACAGGCAGAGACGGTGGAGGGGTGGCGAGGAGAAAGGGGAACAGAAGGCAGCAGGGGCTGCCTCCCGGAGGACAGCGCGCACATCCCCCCTCCCCACAAAGACCTACTGAGCCCTGGTTACCAGGCAGACACTGTCCTTGGCTCAGGGGCTCGGCAGGGGACAGAACACACAGTCCCTCCTTCCCTGGAGGTGGTGGCTTAGAAATGAGACAGTCATGCGATTCAGTGGGTGGGAGACACAGCTGGAGACAGAAAGGGCCAGGGAAGCCAGAGGGAGCAGGAACGGGGCGGGGAGATGTCACTTAGTGTGGGAGTGGACAGTAAACACGCAAGTGTGTGTCAGGCAGCGTCCAGGGCTCTGCAGGCCAGGAGAGCGAGTGAGGAGGTGAGGGGCCCTGCGGGGTGGCTTCCCCAGGGGGGACACTGTTGCGCACACCGGGGACGGGGCGTGAGCAGGCCGTGCAGATGATGCAGGCAGGTTCCAGAGACGGAAGAGTAAGCGTGGCAGCCCCCAGGTGGGTGGGAGGCACGCATCCCATGTGGTTACAGTAACAAGGAGCCACTGTGGCTGGAGTGACTGGGGGAGAACAACTTTTACATTCTGGGGACAGCAGCTCTCCTGCTCTCACTGAATATACACCAGGCAGCACAGAACCTGGAAGTGCCAGCCACCAGCCTGGGCCCTTGGGCCACCCCTGGACATTTACTCTCCCAAGGGTAACCTGAGGGACAGCAGGCACAGCCGGAGGTGCCTTGCCCCCTGTGCCATCGGAATCCGAATGGTCTCTCCTCGGGGGTGCGGAGCCCGAGTGGAGCCATGAGTGGAAGGGGGGCTCGCTTCCCGCTCTGCCAGAAATGAGCAAAGTGCCCTTGGCGGGGGGCGGGGGCCAACCTGCGACCCCGAGGACTGTGTGTGACTTCCGGTCCCCACATCCTCACCCACGCCTGGCGGGACGGGATGTGGTGGGAGGGGCTAAGAAGTGCCACCTGCTCTTGGTCCAGCTGCAGCTCACTGACCACTGAGGGGGCAGCTCGGGCCCCCACACTTTGCTCGACGCATGCAACTCACTGTGCTGTCACCTGAACCCCGGCCGGAGGCAGCTTGTGTGACTACTCGTGGAATCATCATTGTCGCTGCTGTGACACATTCATCTCCACAAAGCCCTGAGAGCCAAGTAACCGGTGACGGAGTTCAGTAAGCCGACCCCGGAGAGCAGAAGCACCCACTTTCTGACCCAGTTAAGCCCCTGCCGAGGGCAGGGAGCAGCCTCCTCCCCGCGCCCTGCGTGACTCTGCCTGTGGGTTCACCTGGTGCAGCTGGGGCGGCGGGGCCCTCACCTGCTGCTGAGATGGGCTGGGGCTGACTAAGGACATTTTAGAAAATCTGAGGATGCCATTTATCTCCCCAAGGTGTCCCTATCTGTGACACAAGTCCTTGAAATGATAGGAAGCCTGACCCAGAAATATCCATGAACAAATTACTGTTTATCCCGCTTAGACGCGGCACCTCCCGCTTCATCCTCTGCCACCTTCTGCTGCAAGCACGGGGAGCGCGAAGCAAGCCGATTGCAAAATGAACTTGCTAATCTTTTAAAAGATGCAGGGTTTTGTTAAATTAATTAAAGTGATGCTGGAGGACAGCTCGAAACACATGCAAATCTGCTGGTGAATAATAACCTGGTGTGGGAGGTAGGTGAGGCAGAGGCTGCTGCAGGGGAGCAGGAGGTAACCGAGCTCCTCACAGGGGAGCGCTGGACGTCAAGGAGCAGGGACGGCTGGGGGAGACGGATCAGTTCATCAAATGCGGGGCGAGGCTGCAGCACGTTTGCTGCGACCAAGCAGTGAGAGCGAGGGTGTCCCGCTGTGCTCTCGCTTAAGATTGCTGGACAAATCACACCCACCCAGGGGACACACGGTCAGTTCACTTCCTCCATCGACCCCTTAGCCACGTTAGGGTCAACCTGTGTGACGCATCAGTGCGACCTCACACGAAGCTGTTTGCAAGAGGTGCACAGTTCCGCTACCTGACTGATGCACGGTAAAAAGCAGTCTGCTGAGACAGCGGTCCACTTGAGTGGGATCTTCCCGGGGCAGTGTCCCTCCGTCCCAGTGACCACCTGTGTACTAAGGGTGCAAAAGCACAGGCGACTGAGATCAGTTACTGGGGTGGAGACCTTAATTTTGCTTCAGTCTCCATTTTCTTCTGATCGCAAAGTAAAATCGTATCGGCTGGGAAAATGACAGCCAGAATAATGACATTTCCCAGGCTTCTTTGCAGCCATACGTGGCCATGTGACTGGATTCTCACCAATGAGAAGAGAAATAAGAGTGAGGCTTGGACCAATTCACGGAGCAGGGCCCCCGAGGCAGCATGGGAGTTTAACAGAGAGGGACAAACAGCAGATATGGTGGGTCTCACACACAGCCCAACTTAACGCCAAGGTGATTGACTTCCACAGAGGCCCACATGGATACAGGTGAACTTTCGGCACCACAGCGGGCTGTTTGTAATCACTGAAGGCTCTACAAGGTTCGCCATCACCGATATAGGGTGTAATACAGCCTAAGACTCAGCAGGAACAAAGGACTTTCTGTCCTTGGGGGATTCGCAGTGTAACCTGACTGTGCCATACAGATCAATCTGAAAAGGACCCTGAATTCATGGTTTGGTTTCCTCATTTTCTCAGTCAGTAGATGCTGATCAGCATAGACATTTAATACGCAGTTACAATGTTTTCACTGTGAATAACAACTTAAGTGAAACTCAGATTGAGCTTCCTAGCTGCCAGGGTAACAGGGAAAGCATAAACGTTTATAATTCTTGTTACTTAATCATCAGGAGTGCATCAGTTCATTGCAGTAAACATTCTGAGTTCTAGAAACTCTAGAAAACCCCCACACTGAGCGACATTCTAAGTACAATGAATACAATTCTCAGCGGCAGCGTGACAGGAAATGTGCTGTAGCTGGCTGTGTACCTTTGGTACTGACTGGGCTCCTGTTTCTACTGCAGGTAGAATCAAGCCAAGTGGGTTACGAGCAGTTTGCAGCTTTTTGGTGATTTGTATCAATCCAAGAACAAAGTCTGGGAGACCAATTTTATTCTTGAGGTCCTTCCTTTTTTGTCTCACCTGTGTGGCTGTGAAACACCAGGCCCCCCAAAGTTCCCCCAAAGGTCACGAGAGGCCTGAGTCCTTGTTTCTGTTCTGATTGTGCCACAGGTACGGCCCAATCCCTTGAGGGGTGCGGGCTGCCCTGGCCAGCAAATGAGGGGCTGGTACAGATGCACACTTTTAGGGGCCTTCCTGCTCCACTGGCACCTAAAGCTGGAGGTTTTGGGGTGCGCCTTTCAGCCAGAGGTGGTAAAGGGGGTATGTGAGGCACTCGGGCCCCTGGCATATTTTCTCTGGCCCACAGCATGAGTTTAAAAAAACCCGGGTTCTGCCAACATTTAAAAAAGTTAGGATATTTCCACTAAGATTTTAAATGTAAACATAATGCAGAGGTTAGCAACCCCAAGCACAGGGCTGTCACTCTGGACCCGACTAGTACACGCCCCCTTCAGCAAGGGCTCGAGCCTCTGCTGTGTCCCTGCGTTCACCAGGGACACCCAGGCCCCTGCAGCCATTTGCCGGGGTGGCCCACAGTGAGCTGGCCACCCCTGGCTGTGCACAGGAACCCAGAGAGCAGCGGCACGCAGGTCGGACTCCCGGGACCTGTGTGAGGAGTGAGCCCTTCCTAGTTCCCGCAGCGGGGTCCACTTTGGAGGTGATTCCGGAAACCAGCAGCTCCAGCCCAGGTGGTGCCCTTCCTGAGGGCCCCGACAGCCCATGCCGGGGGTCCGACAGGACCCTGTGCAGCATCAGAGCCGCAGGCTCAGCTGAAGGAGGCACTGTCTTCCCTCACAGCCCTCCCACCCCAGTAACACCTTGGCACTTGGCCGTACCTTTCCAGGTTGCAACATTAGAGCATCAATATCTGGTTTTACAGCTGCCTGAGCTTCCTGCTCAAGGTGGGGAGTATTTATATATTTTTATTTAAGCTATTTGAAGGAACTGAATTGGAGGATTTTGCAATGGTGCCGGAGGAAGGGATTCTACAGTAATACGTGCGTCTCCATCTCAGCAGCCAGCCTGACAGAAGCCTTGGGAAGCCACCCTAGTAACCCTGCAGGGTGACAAGCAGGAAGGCCGGATGTAGCTGCACCCGGGTTGGCACGGACGAGAAAGAGGTTCCCTGCCACAGCGGCTTCTGCGCCACCCTGGTCACCCCACGCAGGCAGGCCAGTCCTCAACCTGCTCCTCTCCAACGACTACCTCAGTGTTCTGGAACCTTCTTCCTGCTGATGGTCTGAGCCAATAAAGCAGTCCCCTGGATTCAGTGAGTTCACAGAAAACACAAACTCCAGCGTGGCAACTGTGGCCGCCCTGTAACCTCATCTATATTTAAATCGACTCCCCTTTTTTGGAATGCAAATTTCTTTGAGAAGGTCACTGCAGACAAATCTCTTTTCTCATCTCCCCACACAAAAATAAAAAGGGCTGGAATTGCACTAGCTTACTGTGTGCAGCCCCAGCGAGCACCATAGAAAAAGGACAGGAGAGATGACCGTCCGCCTGGCCCTCGGGCCCTGCCGACTCACCCGTGCGGTAGCCCGTGCTGTTGAGGTACACGGCGAAGGTGCGGCTCTCGTGCTGCGCCTGCCAGGAGGGCGAGGAGCAGTTCTCGTTGTTGGTGTAGGTGTTGTGGTTGTGGACGTACTTGCCGGTGAGGATGGAGGAGCGCGAGGGGCAGCACATGGGCGTGGTCACGAAGGCGTTGACGAAGTGCGCCCCGCCCTGCTCCATGATGCGCCGCGTCTTGTTCATCACCTGCATGGAGCCTGCAACCAGCAACACAGGGCAGGTGAGGGGGTGGGGTTGGGGTGCGACCCCTCCATCCTCACCCCGCGCCCGCAGCAGGCGCATCTGGACAGCTGGACGGGGTAGTCGGGAGAGTCCTGCAGAGTCTGGGAACACTCTGGTCCCCTGTGCCACTGGACATTCCTGTCCGTGCAGGTAAAAAGCTGTTTTAAAATCATCTAAGCCTAGACTCAAACTGTTTTACAACATAAACAGCATGTGTTTTTTGCTGGGTGGACAGTGATATTTCTGGAAAGCCAGCACCATGTAAATGGAGGGAAGATTATACTTTGTTTTGTTTGAAACTTTCCCAAGAAGTGTCCCCACCTACTGACATCTGGTCACGGCACCCGGGGGTAGCCCTCTCCCAGTCTTAGCTGAAATGCTTGGCACCAGTTGCACTGTCTGCTTCACCCACTTGGAACCCGCTTCCATGTCCCCCCAAATCTAACCCCTAGTCAAGCTGCACCTCCGCAGGGAGCCCCTTGGGGTCACCCTGACTCCGGCTTCTCTTGGGGCGTCCATCTATGGGAGCACAAGTTATTATGACTTAATGGTCTACCCCAGGTAGCTGTCTCCTCCATGCCTGTGCAGGTGAGGCTTCACGGGAGGGAGGAGATGGAGGTGTGGGGAGCTGCTCTGTGTGCTGGCACCGCCCGTGTGCCTGCTGATTGCTGCAGGTGGCACTGCCAGTGTGTGTCACACAGGAGGCTCAACAGCGTGAAGAGGGGTGTACAGGAGGGTGCTGGGTTGGGTGCCCCTATAATGACTAAGTACAAACGCTGACATCCAGTGAAATGCGTCACAGAAATGCTTTTCCTCGCTTCTAGGGCCAGCCTGGTTCCCTCCTTCGCCTGGCTGTTTTTAGCGTTCTCCCCGTCATGGATATGACCAGTCCGGAGCCTGGCAGAGCAGGGAGGACCCGCCCCTGGGCTTCAGAGGGAGCACAACCTGCTGGCACCTCGACTGAGCAAATGTCTCTTTTAAGCCACCCGGTTTGCAGTAATTTGTTAGGACGCGGTAGGAAACCCATGCGGGGTCCACCAGCGTGCGAGGTTCTTGGCTGACAGCCGCCATCACCGTCCCATAGCAACTCCCTAGAGACAGGGAAACAAGGAACAAGCCCACCTCGGCCTGGCCCTCGGGGTGAAGAAAGGAAAGGAGATTTATGGGCTCCTTCACCCCATCTCTGCAGGGAAGACAGGGAAGGAAACAGCCTAGCTTCCCGGGCGGACAGATTGTATCTCTTCTAGCTCCTCCATGTGTGCAGGTGTCCAGCAGCGCTGGGGTAAGCCCGAGCTCCTTCCTCCGGCCTCACCGTGCTCACTGTTGGCCTAGACAGCCCTCCTGTGTCCCAAGCGCCCCAGGCTCAGCCCTGCCCGAGGGTCCTGGGCCTGCCTGGTCCTCTCCCTGAGACCTGCTGGCTGGCAGCTCTCACTCACGCCCGAGTCCCCTCCACGGACCTCCTGAGCTGGAGGCGCCCCATCGGCTCACTTCCGTCCCGCCCCGACCTCTGCTGCGATCACCTTGAGCGTGAGTGCGTGCCAGCTGGGCCTGGTTCCCTGCAGCGGGGCTGGCGGAGGGCTTCATGTCCCCATTACAGGCTGCTGCTGCTTGGCAGAAGCTGAAGGACAGCCCAAGGCTGGTGAGCCCCGCTGGGCCCCTTTGTGCCTAAGCTCGGTTGGCGCTGGCTGGCCAGGGGCCCCCCTGAAGCCCCCTCTCCCCTGCAGAGGGACCCTCACTTCTGGCAGGAGCCCTGGAGGTTTCTCAGGAGGACGTGTGGCCTTGATGACGGCTGTTTGTGCTGTGCAGTGACTTGTGGATTTCTGCCCAATTCATGACACAAAGCCGGTTCCCTCCAGGGGACCCCACTGGTGGCCTCGGCCAGGAGGCTCCGGGGCCACACGGGCTGCAGGTCCCTGGCGCAGCTCCGGCAGCTGGGAGCCGCCCACTTCCTTCACCAATACACGGCCAACCCAGCAGGCTGCCAGCACCCAGTGGGCCCTCAACAAACATCTGCCAACTTCACAAATACAAGACGGCCTCATCAACCTGGGTTTCCACATAACACAGAGCCCAAGCAGGTGCCACAGACAGGCACATGGGGGTTAGTGTCCTGCACAGGGGACTTCTAAAACTTGGCCACTGCAGTGATCAGATCGTGTGCTCTCTGCTTGGCCACGCTCCCCAGCACTCCCTGCAGCTCCATACCAACCCCAGAGGGCCGGTGCTACAACCTCCTGATGCGGCCAGGCATTGGGACAGCTCCGACTTATCCCCGGGGAGGAGGGCGGCATCACGTGTCAATCATGCTGTTTATTGCAGAGTATAAGACACATTGTCCTTAACTCTCCAGGGGAATATAGAAGAGAGACTAGAACTCAGGCTGTTGAGTCTCGGGTGGAGCTACATGCCAGGAGGGCAGTCTCCGAAGCTGGCTCGGCCCACGGAGGTGGTGGGCCCTGAGATCCATGCTCACAGGTGGTCCAGGTTCACCACGCAGGAGCAGTGACCACGTCCCATGGAACTGCGCAGAAGTCCCTGTGCTCCTGGTTGGGCTTCAGTGAGGCCCAGGAAGCGTGCTTGGTGACCCAGAGGTGACTGTAGCTGGGCACTCAGAGTCCCAGCGCTAAACACCCTGGTCAGCCGTGGTGTGAGAAGGATTCCCTGTCCCTCCACCTGATGACCTCGAGGGAGGGAAATGGCCAGCTGCAGCCTGAGCCCCAGGCAAGTGGCTGCCTCAGCTCAGATGTCACCGCTTGGCTTAATTTCCTCCTACTTAGGGCTCCTACTTTGTCCTTTAAAGAAGTAAAGAAAAAAAATTTTAAAGCAACAATTACACTGACTTAACAAAGCCAACCCAGTCTAGGTGGCCTGGTGAGGGGGAAGCAGGAGACAGTGGCCAGCCCCTGGCAGTCTACTCTGGATGTCCACTGCTATCTAAGGGCTCCGGAGTGCCACCCCCTCACAAGCCCCGGAGGCCACTGTGCCCTCTGCGCCTCTCGAAGCCTCTCCTCTGTCCTTCAGTTTTCTGGGCACTGACCGTGGCTACTCCTTGAGTTCCCATATGAACCCTGTCAGCTGAGCCCGGCACTGTCTCCGTACGGACACCGGCGATCAGACCTGGTCCCCTCCTCCCTGCAGGTGATCATCCCGTCTCCCAAATGAGGCTCTTCCACCCACGCTGCAGCCACAGGGTCTCTCTTCTGTCCAGGCCCCTGTGCCCTGCTGTCCCTCCTGCAGCAGCGCCTTTCCTGTGACCACGCAGCTGCCCACTGCCCTGGTCCCCACGCACAGGCTCTCCTGGTGGTGACAGCTCTCTTGACCACCAAGTGCAAAATTTTCCTCCCCACCCTCACTGACAGCCTCCTTCCTTGTGTCAGCTCGGTGCTCACTTCCAACACGCTGTTACACCTTCACGGATTTACCTTATTCGGTCTGCCCCTGCTCCCCAGAATGTCAGTGCTCTGCGGCCCAGGATTACGGACCCTGCCTGCTCCACTGCACTTGCCTCAGTGCCTGGAACAGTGCCAGGCACACAGTAGGTGCTCAATAAACATCTCTTGCATGCATGAATTCTGGGCACGCCAGGCAAAATGAACCCCTTTGCCTCCAGCTCCCGAGCCATGGGGGAAAGAAAGGAGCAAGTGACAGACAGCTGCTCAGCGTGCCACTGTCCCTAGATTGTAGCAAGGACACACACCAGCTCCTCACCCACCGGCCAGGCCTTCTCCAGAAATGCAGGCCACGCTACTACCTGGTGAAGAATGTTGGGGAGATGGCACCCCGAATGCTGTACAGATGAGAAGAGGCTGTGGAACTGCTGGGTTTTAGATACTCAGGATTGACCCAAGGACCTCACGTGTGCTAGGCAAGCATTCTGCCACCACGCTGCACCCTGCCCCTTTCGTTTTGAGACAGTCTGCTAAATTGCCTGAACTGGCTATTTTCCTGCCTCAGCCTCCTGAGTCGCTGGGGTGACAGCCTTGCATTTATTTTTTGGAGAATTGAACTCACAACCTCACACTTGCTGGGCAGGCGCTGTGCCACTGAGCTATATCCCCAGCCCTGCATTTTTTAAAAATGGGTTTAAAACCCGGGTCTTAAAGCACTTCGTCCTGCTTCTCCCCATGTGGGAAGCGCCTCACTGCCCTGGCTGGCAGCACCCCGAGTGTCTGCTTGGTGTACATGCCCTGCTCCGGTCAGCCAGCCGAGGATGGCTGTGTCACTCTGCCACACAAGTAGAGTTCTTCCAAGCCCAGTGACAGGGGCATCTGTGCACAGGCAGCATGATGTGCCGAGGCTACCCTCGGGGACAGTGACCAGGCACTGTAAATCCACACCCATAACGTGGGAACATATGACTTCATCTCCCGGCCAGCCCCTGCCCTTATGCGGATGCCAGCTCTGGTGGCAGGGAGGGCCTGGCAGATGCAGCCATGGAGAAATCAAAAAGCCACTTCTCAATATTTCAAACAAAGCCATGCCAGCCAAGCCAAACTTACTGTGTCCAACATAAATCTGGGGACATGCAGGCAAAAACAAGCCTGCTTTCTTTCTGTGACCAAACCTCCTCACCAGCCTGGGCCAGGGCTGAGGTCATCCTGACACCTCTTGGGCACTCTGCCAGGACCTTGCACGCTAGCAACTGAGCTGCACCCCCAGCCTGACTGGCTCTTCTAACGGCCCGAGTCAGAACCCCGGGCTCTGTGGGGACTCAGCAGGTGCTGGGGACTTTCAAGATTCAAAAAGTGACCCTGTCCGTGCCCTTCCCAGGGCACTTCCTGCACTAGGCCAGCTGCTGCCAGGAGCGGGTGCACACCGTGGCCCCACTTATGGCACAGGTGGCACTGCTCCTGGTCAGTACCTAGTCAGAGATGGTTTCTGTGTTTTCTGTAAATTTCAGGTCTGCAGTGGCAGGGCCTTTTTGGGAAGCAGCAGGCGGTTCGGGACAAGGCAGAAGCAGAAATGGAGCCAGCAA